GTACTTAAATTTACTTCTAGAATCAGTTTTTTAGAAGCTGGGGGTGACCCGCTTTTGGAAACTGATTCTGATTCTGCTTTTGCTTTAAAAAAGAAGCAGAATCAGTTCTAAACATCCCCTAATGTGTTACAAAACGAGCTCTATATATTATGCATGCTTATATATAGAGAAATTTACCTCACATATGACTAAATGTTCTAACTTTTCTCAAAATATGACTCACATGTTTTTTCTTCAAATACGATACTATAATATCCTAACTGCCGTAGTCCGTGTATTATTTATGTTCATTCCAAATTTGCTAAGTTCGGAAGTCGCAGATCAGATCCTCTAAGGGCTGGTTTGCAACAGCTTTTAAAAAAGTACTTCTCAGCTTTTGGCTTTAAAAAACACTTATTTACCAAACACTACCAATTTTTTACTTTTCTCGGCTTTCGTGTCAAAAGTGTTTTTCCCCTTTTTATACACCAAAAGCACTTATTTTACCAAACACTACCAACTTTTACTTTTCAAAATCACTTTTTTCTCAAACACTATCAACTTTTACAACTAATCACTTTTTCCAAATCACCCCAAAAGTGTTTTTAAGCAGAAACTGTTGCAAATTGTTTTTAAGGTCATTTTGGTCATCAAATACTCTTCATTTATACGGATGTCATGTATTAAAATCTTCTATAGTCATGCGGTGGTAAAAAAAACATATGTATTCGTATATACTTTGGGAATTGTGATGAGTAGGGGTGAGCGTGGGACGGTACGGGACGGTTATTTCAAAAAACCTGTCCCGTTCCAAAGTACGGTTCTTTTTAAAATCAAGAACCGGTACCGTCCCGCATATATGTAGAACCTGTCCCGTTCCGTACCAATTTTCGGTCCGGTACGGTACGGTTCGGTACGGTTCTTAAATAACTAAATAACCCCCATGAAATATAAAAACTTTAGATTTTAACATTTATAAATAACTCTACAAAAATTGAAGAGAAGAACTTGCAAGATTATATTATCCTTGTAGGTGAGCCGAATTGAGGAGGAACACCAAAGGCGATTAGTTATGTCGTTCCTCACTTTTGGACTTTTTGGTCTGTTAGAGGATATGTTGCCGACTGAATTAGGTTTAAGAGTTTTTGTTCTATTTACGTAGCATTATTTATACTCCGAATCATTTAGTGTTTTTGTTTTAATAATTGGATTGGGCCCAAAGAAGGTGTAAGAGTAATATAAGGACAATTATACTCTGTATATAATATATTATACGGAGTATTATATATAAAAATTATTATTATATTATAACACTAGTTTTCGGGACAATTCGGGACGGTACGAGACGGTTCGGTTCGGTACAGTTCCGGGACAGTTCCAGTACGGTTCTCACTAAGAACCGGTACCGTACCATATTATTAAAAAAACTCGGTACGGTACAGTACGGTATTACATTTTTCCGGTTCTATCGATTCTGGAACGGTTCGGGACGGTTCTTCGGTACGGAACGGGAATTCCCAGATCCGCGCTCAGTCCTAGTGATGAGTTGTACTGATACAGAGGTATTCATCCCATTATATATATAGTGTCTTAATCAATATATATATATATATATATATATATATATATATATATATATATATATAAGAGAAACTTTTTAAGAGCATACAACGCGCCATATAACACTGTCATGTCATCATATATAACAATTATTTAAATAATTTAGATACCTTTTATTTTATTATTACATTCTATTTTTATTACATGTTGGTATAGAAATCCACCTTATTTGATAAATTTGACAAATAGAAATTCACCTTATTTGGTAAATTTGGCAACCTCAAAATCGCGGGAACCTCAACTTGGATTTAGAAACATCAACTTACGTCCTTTTAGAAAAACATCAAAGTTAATTAATGGAATCCAATATATTATTACGTATGGGAATGCAAGTTTAATTAATGGATCTTCAATATTAATATCCCATATTAAATACTATTCAAGCTTCTTTTTTTAATCCGTATATTGGTTTAGAACTTTAGACAACTTTTTTTTGAAAGGATTAGTTTAGAGAACGTATAAATGTCCAATTGATGAAATTTTAAAAACTATACTTTGAAACATTTTCAATGTGACTAAATAATGAGTAAAATAATGAGTAAAATCATTTGAATTTGTCACTATTAAAATTAATAAAAAAAAATATTATGCATACCATTCAGACAGAATGGTATGCATAATCAGACAATTCGATCAATTTTATTGACATCGAACAGGCTCTATATTAAATTGAAGGGTTGTTTACTCTTTTTCTATTAAGTACTGTCTGAATTAATACATCTCTATAGGTTAAGATGTATATCAAGATAAAAAGATATTTGCATATGAAGTTGTTTAATTTGTATGTTGAATAAACAGTCTAAATCAAGTCAAATAATCAATTTAGTATTGTTCTTAGATTATAGTGTCAATGAAAAACTTCATTTATTAATTAATATTAATATATTCCACAACCAAGTTAAAAAAACACATTTAAAATTAGCTAAATTATGTAATGTCCGTGCATCGCACGGGCTTGAAAACTAGTATAGAATAAGATGCTATTTTATCACCATCTTTGATAATATAATGATTTTTTTATTCCTCAACACACACCAAGTTGAATCACTTAAGTACATTTTACTTAAGGGAGCTTTTATGCCCTCCAGGGACGGAACTAGTAAGGGGAATTGAGGGGCTTGAGCCCTAGAGTTGCTTTTATACTTATTATATTCTACATCCGTACCCATTTACTTAGCCATCTTTGACTTTTCCAGTCAAAAATGGTAAATTTTGACCAATTATTTTAACTAATATGTTTATGCAAAATTTAATAATTTTATACTTTCATTATAGTATTTTTAACAAAGAACATTTTCATACCATTTTTATATTATCAATATTTTCTCTATGTAAACATATAATCGGTCAAAGTTAGATGTCATTGACTTGAAAAGTCAAATTTAGCTAAGTAAAATGGAACAGAGGGAGTACATATTAAATATAAAATTGTAAATTATAAATACTTATAAAATATGTGTCTCATAGATTAATAATCACAATATTAACAAGAAGACACTGCAGCATAGTGGAAGAGGTGCGTGTGTGTCCAGGGATTATGAAAAGGTCTAGACTAAGGTTCAAATCCTCTCTTACTTTTTTATACATTTTTCTTTAATTGTGTCTTTTTTAAACTCTAAATTAATTTAAAATGGCTTTAAATAGCTATATTCAAATTTTGGTGATGCACCATTCAGCTCTCTAGTACATGGGTAGGAATAAGAATTTTGCAAATGGACACATCATATTTAATTTCTTGCTTTTTGGTTTCATAAAAAATCTCATTTGATCTTATATGTAATTAAAAGTGTAATTTCTCAATTTACTTTTCAAGATATTAGTTTCTATAATAAAATATATATGTAGTATATTCTAGATAGTGGATGCAACAACTTAGCTTTCCCATTATTAAGTGGTACTTTCAAACTTATTTCCTATTTTTTCATCATCATCCTGCCATGTCACCATCCCAAATAATATCCATTTCCATGTCATTTTCGTGCCCAATATACATGTCATAGACTCATAGTACATACATCTACAATATAAAAATATTAAACATTGAAAATTAGAAGCAGATGGGAATTGTACCCACGTCAAAGCTTTTGGGAATTACGAGTCTTGAACCACTGCACCACCACCATCTCTTGGTAAAGTCCCATATATTTAGCTCTTTTATATTGTGCAAAGTCCGTACTTGGTATAATTAAGACATTCTTCCATATTATTATTATTTTCAGTACAATTTTTTTTTGGAAGATTATTTTCAATACAATAGCAATAATAATAATAATAATAGCAACGACAATCCTATCAACTTTTCACATTTAGTGATGTACAAATTTGACCATTAATGTTTATTATTATCTATTAGGAAAAAAATTAAAAAAAATAAGATTTTAAAAATTTACAATGAGACAAATTAACAGGTATTTTTATAAAAAATTATTAATACATTAATTAATAAAGTGTAGTCAAAGTAGAACGTGTAAATAGTGTAAAAATTCAACATGTTACATTACTTTAAAAACAGAGGTAGTATATACTTCTTTTTTAAATGCAACTGTCCACTTTTCACGTTTGCCAACACATAAGTTTTACCATTAATGTCTTTTATTTCTTATTAGTAAAAAAAATAAATTCTGAAAATTTAAAATGAGAGGAATTTAACAAAAAAAATAGATTTAATTTATATTACGCTATTAAATAAAATTGAGTCAAAGTAGATCATGTGAATAGTGTAAAAAGTCCAATGTTGCATTTAAAAAAGAACGGAAGGAGTAGCGTTCAAAATTCAAACTTTATCATGTTGAAAAAGAACGAAAGGAGTAACCGTTAAGACAATAAACTTTTGCTGAAATTTTTTGAGCATTTTCTTTATCAAGTTTTGTTTATGCAATCAAATTTTAGCTTAATATTCAACCGGGAAGGACGTTAAATAAATTGTTTAAAAAACCCGCGATTTTTGTGTGAGAATGTTTTTACTTAGACTATAATTTGTTCCAGATCAGACCAGACTTGGATAGTTATAAAAATACAAAGAAACCAGACCAGACCAGTCCAAACCAGATCAGACCAGACCAGACCATCAAATTACCGTCCAAGTAAAAACATCCTAATTTGTTGTTATTATTATTATTATTGTATTGAAAATAATCTTCCAAAAAAATGTACTGAAAATAATAATACGGAGTAATATGGAAGAATGTTCTATTTTTTTTTTTTTTTTTTTGTTTTTTTTTTTTTTTTTACCCCGGTAATTCTCCAAGACCCGAGGGTCCTGGGGTGGGGCCAGGGAACATCCCACCAATTTATTATGAAAATGTGAAATACAGATTGTAGGAGGACCAAACCAAAGCCTACTCAGAGATACAAATAAAAACTATGTAATATAAGGAAAGCTAGTAGCGTCAAACTTTAAAATGCCCACAAAATGATTAAAATGATGAGTATTGGTTTTAATAGACATGCAACGGTATGCAAGAAAATCAGCTGCCTTGTTGATGGTTGGGTTGACGTGAGTAATGGTCCAGTTATAGCTTCCAAGTTTTCTGCGTATGTTTCGGATCTGCGACCAATATGTCCAATGCTGTATAGAGATCCCCTGAAGTCCTTCGTAGACATTACTATCTTCCACCTCAAAAATGAAATTAAGAGTGTTAAATTTTCTTAGGAGGGGAATAATATAGTCTAAAGCATCATAAGTAGCATCGGTAGTATGACCGTGGTGAACCACGTGAGTGGCATGACCCATGTAACTACCAGTACTGTTACGAACAATGGCAGCCGAGCGGATCAAATGGGGGGTAATATTACGAGAGGCTAGGTTAACTTTGAAGTAGCTATCCGGGGGTTTAGTCCATATTTTGAAAGCAGGTTTTTTGGCAGTATGTTTGGTAGAGATGTAGTGAATGTTGAAAGGAACACTAGGGTTATTCGTAGTGAAAGGTTTTGCCACCGACAATCCGACATGGCATAAATATCAGTTCTAATAGCTTTTATAGCCTCAGGAGTGTTGGCCTTATTGTTATCATACAGAACTTTGTTTCTAGCTTTCCAAAGGTGCCAAGTGATGATGTTAGGGAGGGTGTGGTTAAAATCATTTATAGTGCTTTTGAAATCCAAGTACCATTTAGTAATGTAATTACTGAAGGTGCTAGTTTTGTTTGGGTGAAAGTCAAAACAAATTTCAAAATGATGCCAGATAGTCATAGCAAAATTACAGTGAAGGAAGCAGTGATCAATGGTGTCCGGGCTATTACAAAAAGGGCATTTGAACGGACCGTGGATACCAAAAGTTGAGAGTTTATCCTCAAAAGGCAGCAGATGGTTATTGAGTCTCCATAAGAAAAAAGAAATTTTTTTGGGGGTACGGCTGTTCCACACATACTTGGCACTCAAGTTCAAAGTCATTTTAGGCCGCATAACATCATAGGCACTATTAAAACTGAAAATGCCATTTGAATTAGGTTTCCATATATGGGCATCTTTAGTATCATTGAAACTGATATTAAGGTCTTTAATTTTGGTTATAATGTAGTTCGGGAGACAGTTTTGGATCGCAGGAATAAGGCTATTATTATGCATAGCTTCAGAAACAGTTAGATGCTCTAAATCATCGGGGAGGTGGTTTTGGAACTGGTACAGGGGGCCTAAGTCGCACCAACTATCAAACCAAAAAGAACTACAACCATTATTCACCTGAATGCAACAGTTAATATCAAAAACAGACCTCACAGAATCAAGAGAGTTGTGCATAACAGACCTGGCAGTACCATTAAGAGAATTTACCCATGTAGCCCAAAGACCCTTGCCATTTGCTTGCTTCCAAAGGAGTTTGAGGAAGAAGGTTTTTTGAATATGTGGTAGACTTCTAAAACCTAAACCATTTTCTAATAGTGGGAAGCAACATTTCGACCAGCGTCTCCAAACATGTTTTTTATGGTCATTATTCCTATCCCACAGAAAATCAGTGAGCCTCTTTTCCATTTTGTGAAAAACCGATTTAGGTATGGGGCAAATAGCCATATGGTAAAGCGGTAAGGAATTTAAAACATGGTTAATAAGAATCATTCTACCCCCAGTCGAGAGTAGCTTGTGTTTCCAACCTGCAAGTTTGTTATCAAATTTGGCCAAAATGTGATCAAAATGAACATTAAGGGTACGACCAACATGAATATTTGCACCCAAATAAGTAAAGGGAAAAGACCCTTTATTGATGTGAAAAATGTGGTTGACCACATTGCAGCTGTAAAATTTTGCATGTTTGGAGATCAAATAGAAGCTTTTTTCCTTACTGATAAGTTGACCAGAAAAAAGTTCATAGTCAGTGATAATCCTTTGAAGATTTATCAGCGTTTTTTTGCTAGCATTAGAAAAGACAATCAAATCGTCAGCAAAAGATAGGTGGCTAATGCATGGCATACCTTTAAAGGTGCTATAAGCAATACCCTTGCCAGATAAGTACAGGTTATTCAAATTCCTAGTAAGAACCTCAGTCACCATAATGAACAATATAGGGGATAAGGGGTCCCCCTGCTTCACCCCCCGGGAGGGTTTAAAAAAACCTTTGGGCACACCGTTAATGAGAATAGAGCACCAAGTCGCATGGAGGTTGTTAAGAATAAGGTTAACAAAATTGTTATGAAAACCAAATTTTAAAAGAACATGCTTAATAAAGGACCAAGAAATTCTGTCAAAAGCTTTCACCATATCAAATTTAAAAATGATATTGTGTCCCCTACTTTTTTTGTGGATATGGTTTACCAATTCTCTAAGGAGTAGGATGCTATCGGATATCTCTTTACCTTTTTGAAAGGCAGTTTGTTCATCAGAGATGATTTTAGGAAGAAGAGTGGTAATACGGACAGTTATGATTTTGGTGAAAATTTTGTTCAGAAAGTTACTTAGGCTAATAGGTCTGAATTTCAAGAATTGGTACGCATTTTTCTCTTTGGGGATAAGAGCAATTAGGGTGTGACCAATAATTTTAGGAATAGGAACACCACAGAAAAACTCCCTGACTGCGTTAAACAAATCTGCCTCAATGATATCATAGGCACTCTGGTAGAACACCCCGTCATAGCCATCACTTCCAGGAGCACTGGTTTTATCCAGGTTAAAAACCGCATCCTTAAGCTCTTTTTTAGTGATTGGACTCATCAAGAAGTCATTGTCCGTATCACTAATAACAGCATTAATATTTTGCAGGTAACTAGTTGGGTCAAGCACCTCTGTATCCTGATCTGCAGTGAGCAAGTTAGTAAAATAGGAGATAGCAGCATTATTAATATCATCAACATTTTCAATCCAGTTGCCATCATCCTTTTTAATTTTGGAAATGTTTAGCTTTTGATGTTTGGCTTTAAGGGAGAGATGAAAAAATTTTGTATTTGCATCTCCCTCCTTTAGCCATTTGATTTTTGCCTTTTGTCTATAGAAAGTGTTTATGTGAGCAGAATATTGAATGTATCTAGCCTGAGCTTCCTTAAGAGCAATGTGGTCTTCATCAGAGAGGGAATCAGAAAGTTTTTCCTCAAGTAAAGTGATTTCAGTTTCAGCTTCAGACTGCTTTGTAAAGATATTTCCAAAAGTATTTTTATTCCAATTTCTTAGCACAACTTTCAAGCGTTTTAATTTGTTTGAAAATTTCCACATGCCATACCCATCACTAGGAGAATCCCAGGAGGCTTTGACTATGTCAAGAAAAGTTTTATTTTGGATCCACATATGCTGAAATCTGAAACTCTTAGGGCCTAAATTAGGGACTTTATTCTCCTGTAAAAGGAGAGGATTGTGGTCAGAGATGCATCTGTTGATTTTCTTAAGAGTCATATTCCAATTAAGGTGGAGAAACTCATTAGAAATCATGACCCTGTCAAGTTTTTTTTGAACTAAACCATTCCTTCTTTTCCCACTCCAAGTGAAGGGAGTACCTTGAAAATTTAGCTCAGACAAACTGTTGGCAAAAATGAAATCATTAAACTCATCAAGATCAAGCTTACTGGGGGTGCTATTGCCCTTATACTCTCTGATGTGAGAGATTGTATTGAAATCCCCTGCCAGGACCCAAGGTGTCTGACCAATACCGACTCTGAAATTAGACAATTCACTCCACAGAATTCTTCTATGAATCCTGTAGTTGCTACCATAAACCACAGATATGAATAAAGGAGTGACCAGATCATTAGAAGTAATAGAAAGGTTTACACATTGAGTAAGATCAGATATGATAGTAACATCAAGAGTGTCATGCCACATTAACCAAATTTTGTTAAGAGAGTGAGAGTAGGAATTAGAAAAACCAAAGTTCATCATTTTTTTGTTAAGATTGCAGGCATTAATTTTAGGTTCAATAACAGCAAGGAAATTAACTTTATTGTCTTTACAGAGAAGGGAAACTCTATCAGAGGATTGAGCATTCCCAATACCACATACATTCCAAAAAAGGAAACTAATCATAAAAACCCGGTGGGGGGGCAGATTTCTTGGGTCTGAGAGCATATGGCTCTCTATGGGGGTCCTGATTTGGTTTAGATGTGACTGAAGGGCTAAGGGGGGGGGGGGACATTTTTGGTTTTTTTGGTTGTTTCCCCATCAGATAAAGTGGTTCTGGGGTCCATTTCCATAACCAATTCTGTTATATCATCGTCTCCAGAATGAGTGAAGTCATTTAATATCAGTCCATTCTCAGACGGAGTCTGATTTTGGAAAGGAATGGTAGGAGACTGATGAGTAAGGTTCGGGTCTTCAATAATTGCTCCAGTAAATTCCTGTATTGGACTCAATAAGTCAGTGTTTTGATTTTCCAGAACAGGAATTTCACAAATACTTCCCTCGGTGATCAGTTTCAGAGCTTCCGCAGGTTGTGAATTACTTTGGTCCAGGGCCTCATCAATTTGCTGCAAGGCATCCACAAATAGTTGTTCCTCATCTTTTTCTGTTACAGTACCAGATGGTTCACCTGATTCAATTATAGAGCCTTTTCTTTGCCATTTAGACAAAGGTTGGATTAACAGATTGTTAGTATTTAAGGCAACCTCTTTACCCTTATCAATTTTAGTGATAGGGTTAGTTTTTTGACCAAGGTGTACCTCAGATGAATTCTTTTTGGAACAATTAGCTTCGTTGTGACCTATATGGTAACATTGTTTGCAATAAAAAGGAAGTTGTTCCTCAATAGTAATATATTGCCAGAACCCCTCATACTCATCATCCTCAAGCCAGAACTTATCTGGTATGGGTTTGAGGAGGTCGATTTCCACCTGTATACGGGCTACAGAGGGACGATTTTTGTTCAAAGTGGGTCTATCACAACGGAGGGGTTGGCAGAAGTTGGACACGAGCTCAAACAGAAAATCTTCATCAAATAAATGGAAAGGGAGGTGCGGGAAGGAAATCCAACATGGTACGAACGAGGATTCCCTATCGGGATGATATCCAGGATACCATCTAGAGATCCTCATTACGAAACCATGGATTATCCAGGGGTGTCGAGATCTACATCTGATATATTCATTTTTATCTGAGAAAGAGATCAGAACTTCGTTCTTATAAAGAAGACCAACAGTAAACGATTTAAAGTTTAGGGCTTCGAAAACCTTACGTATAGCGTTGAGGGGAGGTCGCCCCTTCAAGAAAGTACCCACCAGTGAGTATTGAAGGTCTGCAGCGAGCATTTCAGATCTGGCTTTTGGAATTTTGACGGAGAAACAACCCTTGTGCTTTCCGAACATCAGTTGCAGTGCGGGATCATCCTTTGGATTCGGCTGCTTCCTTGACGGGCCAGCAACCACCGTCGCCCAAGTTTTTGGTGGAGGAGGTGGCTCCCCCATCGCGGGGGAGGTAGGAAGGCGGAAGGACTGCACCAGGTTAAGCCCGGTAGAGGATGGATGACGAAGGGATTTTAGTGATTGGAGAGAGCGTATATTTTAGAGAGAGAAGTGACCGTTTTTTCATTCCTTTGGTAAAAAATTTGGAAGAATGTTCTAATTATACGAAGTACATGCTTTGCACAATATGAATAAATATATAATTAAATACGAGTACATATCAAGAGATGGTGGTGGTGCAGTGGTTCAGGACTCCTAATTCCAAATGCATCCGCGTGGGTAAAATTCCCATCTGCCACAAATTTTTAATTTTTAATATTTTTAAATTGTAGATGTATGTAGTGTGACATGGATATATGATGTGGGCACGGAAATGACATGGAAATGGAGATTAATTTGGATGGTGACATGGTGGCGGTGAAAATTTTCGATAGGAAACTACCCTTTCCGGGAAAAAACTCACATAAGTAAATGTATCACTTGCATTCTCTCTTTTTCTATGTACCAGTTTCTTCGTGTCTGCTTCTTCGGTGCATATATCTTATCGAAAAAACATATCATTCAAATCTCTTCTACTCCATCTACCAGAAGAAGACCAAGTTTCAAGTTACACTAGCTTTGATCGATGTGAATATAAGTTCGGAAAGCTAACTTTTACTTTTCAAAGTGAAATTTCGATAAATCCAATTCGAAAGCTGGTTTACCCAATTTTCCCAAACAATATCAAATAAATTATCGTTCAAAATATGATTAAAACATGTAATTAGTGGTATAAAGTTCTTAAACAGTATTAAGCGTCTTCCCCCCTCAAAATAGGACTTATTTTCTCATATTAAAAATATAAAATAATAAAACTTCCCAAAAGAGGAGTGAATGGGTATTATTTAATTAAAAACAAAGAAAATAATCAAGCCTTAGCTGACAGGTCGAATGATCAAGTGGTCACTACAGTTGGGACCATATGACATTACGTATGAGCTCAGGACAGCTTTGAAGTCACAAGCCTTAGCTGATTTTGTGGCGGACTTCAGCCCCAAACTACAAGTAGAGGCGGAAAGGGAAGTATGCCTTCTGATAGGCGATCAACAGCAACAGAAGTGGGTGCTACATACTGATGGAGCCTCGAACATGCACGGAGCAGGCCATGAAGTCATGCTGAAATCACCACAAGGGGGCACCATACTACAACCTGTCCGATGTGATTTCAACGTAACAAACAACGAAGCGGAGTACGAGGCACTGATTTTCGGACTAAACCTAGCCCGAAACTTGGGCGTAAAACTAATCGAGGTAAAGTGCGACTCCCTTTTAATTATTAATCAAACTAACGGGGTTTATGCAGCTAAGGACCCAAAGATGACGACATACCTTCAAGTCATCACATAATTGAGCAACCATTTCGACAACATCACTTTCAATCAAGTCCCCGACTATACCTGAGAACGTAGAGCGTCATTCTGCCCTTGGAGGAAGGATACCCTTTGACGCATTTCCTCTCTGACGGCTTCTAGCTGAGTTTGCATTTCCTCATTTGAATGATCGGATCTTCTGGCCGCCTGCAATTCCTCATGAACGACATCCAACTGGGCTTGAATCTCTTCTTTCGAATGATTAGAATCCTTAGCCGCACGCAGTTCTTCCCGAACAGCCTGCAACTGGGCTTGAATCTCCTCTATCAAGGTGTTTGAGGCTTTGGCCATAATTGATTCTTTCTTTCTGCAAGAATTTCTCACAGACGGCGCCAAATGTTTATACCAAGATTAAACAATTAAATTGAACTGGGAATCTCACAAAATAGAATTAATAATGGACAATTCAATATAAGCAATAAATTGTATGGTATTAATAGATATTTATCAATATGGAGCTTTCGTATACAGAGTATTAGATAATTGGAATGAATGTGTTGATCGTGATCGATCGTGTTTTACAATAAAGCCTGAGCTAGTGTATTTATGAAATGAAGTAAACTCCTTCCCCAAGAATAGCAACTGTCCTCCTATTTCTCCTCCATGTGCTAACTCTTCTCTTGACTTGATCTTGGACTCTTTAATTCTTATCTCTAATTCGAATGTCAACCGTAGCATATTGAAGGGCTTCGATTTTCCTTTGGGCTGCCCAGACCAGTTTACTTCGTCTTATCTATTGGCCCATTTGAGGGAATATTTCCCCGGGCCCAACAATTATAAAATTTAATCATATTGACTTGTAGTCACTTTTTTGTGCATACATTTTTATTAATACGTAGTAATATCTTAGAAAAGACTATTTGTTTTTCTCCTATAGATAGGGTTTACACGCGATCATCCATATAATAGTAAGAGAGTTCCAATAAAAAGAGCACTTAACGTGGAAATGCGAAATGTCACTTTTAATTTTCTACGTTACGTTGTATATTTATCTCTGTATGATAGGGACTATCTAGGTTTACAAAAGATTCACAGAAATCTATGAAGAATCAATCTGAAATTGTATTGAGATGAACCAAAACAGTATTAGTAACAAGAACTGGCCGAAGCCCCCAATGAGCCGAAGCCCCCCAAAAGAAAGAGAAAAGTTCTCGATCTTCCCAAAGTCCCAAAGTCAAAGTCCAAAACAGCCTACTCTACCTCCCCAAGCTTATTCTATTTATACTCAACTTGTACACTTATTATTATTAATGCTCTATTGGGCCGGGTCCCTAACAAATCTCCCCCCTAAACATCCACCTTGCCCTCAAGGTGGGAGATAGGACACAACCATAATCCTCTTCTTTTCTTTTATCCTAGCACCTCTCCCTTTCCAATACTGTATTGATTGCTGGAATTTTAGCTTTGCGGCTTCCATCTTTTTCCCTATGTATTTCACAGCAGAGTTATACAGATGCCAGACTACGTTATCCAGGATTTTGATTCCTTCAGATTCTTTAGAGGCTAAGGTGCATCCTGCTACAACATAGAGGGTGCAACTTCTTGCTTTTGAACACTCTCTTCTTCAATGTCAGTAGGTAACCCTTGATAGCTCAGCAATTTTCCTCCTCCATTCCTATTCACCAGGCTCTTCATCTCCTTATAAATTCCCAGTTGACTGAATGAAGGGTCTCCATGTATGATTACCTTCTGCCCCTGAACCTCCACTTTGATGGTCTGATTTTGGAAGTTAATCTCAGTATCTCCCAAGCTTGTAAGCCAGTCCATGTCCAACACCATATCTGTTCCCCTCCACTCAAGCATATAGTAAGGTTGCTGTATTTTCAGCCCTTGAAGTTCCAATTCCAACCCTTCACACATTCTATTGTTGGTGATTTGATCTCCATTACCTATCTGTACAGAGTATCTTCTTATCATACGGTAGGATAACTCCCATTTTCTCACAAATTCTTGAGAAATGAAGTTATGGGATGCACCAGTATCTATAAGGATTTCAACCTTCTTTTCTTCAGATTTCCACTTCAATTCTCCTTTCATCTTGAATGTTTTCATGCTTGGAATCTCTTCCTTACTTATTGGAGATAATTGCAGAGTTCTGACTTCCATTTCAGTTTCATCTTCCTCCTCGTTATCCTTCCTGACACATTCAGTTTCTTTTTCTCCTCCAGAATCCTCCACAAAAACAAATTTGTAGTGTTTCATTTTGCAGATTTGCCCTCGGTTCCAGTTTTCCCCACACTTGAAACATAAACCTTTCCTACTCATCTCCTGCAGTTCATGTTGTGTTAATCTGGGACTTATCTTCTTGTGAGCATAATTGGCTGATTCCTCCTCCATATCCATTGGCTTAATTTCATTGATGATCTTGCCAGCACTTGTAGTAGTAATAGGACTGCTCCTCCATCTACTATTATCTCCCCCATTTTGAAGATGACCTTCATTCCCTGCTTTTCCTGGCCACCTCTTCTTGCCTTCATCTTTATTCTTCTTGATCCAGACTTCATTATTCTTGTTTTCAATCAAAGAGGTTGTGTCCATGACCTTAGCCAGAGTTCTGGTAGTGTGTAGCTTCAACTCAGCCCTTATATCCTTTTTCAACCCTTTTATAAATACTCCCTTCAATACTTCTTCAGTCAAGTGTCCCTGAGAAGCAATGGCTGTCTCGAATTTATCTCTATATTCTTTCACGCTCCCCTTTTGTTTCAGACTGAGTAAAGGTCCTAAAGGATCTTGCACCAAGTTTGGTTGGAAACGTTTGGTCAACGCAGCTGTAAATGATTCCCAGGTTTGACGATGTGCTTGCCCTTCCCACCATTGAAACCAGCTTAAGGCCTGGTCTTCCATGGCCACAACTGCAACGTCAATCTTATCCTCTTCTTCAGTGTTGTTCAGTCTGAAGTAGCAATTCATCCTCAACAACCAACCACAAACATCCTCTCCGTTAAAGATTGGCATATCAATTTTCCGTCCTGTGTGATGGTGATGTCGTTGATTCCGATGAGGATCGTGATTATGTCGCGGTGTGGAATGGCTAGTCGAACTGTCTGAACCGTCTGAACTGTCGCCCTTCTTCGCATGTTTGTGTCGCGACTGATGCTGTTGAGAAGTGTGATGCGATGCCGATGTGCGATGCGAGGCAGATGATCGATGCAACGCAGATGAGCGATGCGACCTACTTCTTGATCGATGATCTTTCGCATCCAACCTGGCCATAATTGCTGCCAACATCTCCGTAGTCTGTTGCTGATTCCGATCCATCTTCAATTCTCCTCCAGTCGGTTTTGGTTGTCTTCCAACTCAGTCATCCATAAATCCATTTTTGTCCGTGTCCAGACCATCCACAGAATCGACCTCTCTGATACCAATGATAGGGACTATCTAGGTTTACAGAAGATTCACAGAAATCTATGAAGAATCAATCTGAAATTGTATTGAGATGAACCAAAACAGTATTAGTAACAAGAACTGGCCGAAGCCCCCAATGAGCCGAAGCCCCCCAAAAGAAAGAGAAAAGTTCTCGATCTTCCCAAAGAAGAGAAGAGAAGAGTATTATGGCTGTGTCCTATCTCCCACCTTGAGGGCAAGGTGGATGTTTAGGGGGGGAGATTTGTTAGGGACCCGGCCCAATAGAGCATTAATAATAATAAGTGTACAAGTTGAATATAAATAGAATAAGCTTGGGGAGGTAGAGTAGGCTGTTTTGGACTTTGACTTTGGGACTTTGGGAAGATCGAGAACTTTTCTCTTTCTTTTGGGGGGCTTCGGCTCATTGGGGGCTTCGGCCAGTTCTTGTTACTAATACTGTTTTGGTTCATCTCAATACAATTTCAGATTGATTCTTCATAGATTTCTGTGAATCTTCTGTAAACCTAGATAGTCCCTATCACTGTATGTTAACATTCATATCAATTTCTTCATGTACTTTAATGATTTATTTTATTGCATTATGTTGGAAAATTTTCATATATATGAATAGAATGTGACATTTTAAGTGAAAAAAATGTGATATTTTAAAGGCAGTGATTTTTTGTGATTACTTTTGTATTCAATGTTTACATTTAAGTGAACTAACGCTACACCCATAGTAACCTTACTAATGCATATTTTTGTCAATAACTTTTTCCAGTAATATTTTTCAATTTTTTTATATTGCTACCGTGTTTTATCATATTGAAATTCATTGTTTTTTCATTTTAATAGAGTATTTAGTTTTCTTATTAACTAATTTATATACAACTTTTAATTTATTAATAGAAAATCAATTATTATCAATATATGTGAGAGTTGATTTTCAACTAGATCAAGCTTGCAATAGCCCTTTATAATCCCTTGACCCTTATAATAAAAAAACAATTTAATGTCAAATATTTGAGTTGTGATGACATCTATCACAATTAGGATGTTTTTACTTGGACTGTTTTCAGTCTCAAATCAAATCAAATCAGACTTCAACAGACAAGATCAAACCAGACTAGATCAGACTAAAAACAGACCAGACTTGACTTTCGTAGTTATAAAATTAAATACACAGAGATTAGACGTTTTCCAAATCAGACCAGTTCAAACCACACCAGACCAGACCTAAACAGACCAGACCAGACCAGACTTAAACAGACCAGATCAACAAATTACAGTTCAAGTTTCAAACTGTGAGTCTCACAGATATATGACCTGGCCTGGCCTCTATATATTATACGTAGTACTACGTATGCTATAGAAATGAAATTTGATTAATGCACGTACGTACAATTGTACTCCGTATTTGTTATTGTTTCCTTGAGATGTGATATACTTTTTCATTATAATAAGTTTATCATGCACATATATCTTATAGAATCAATAACACGTATATATGCAAAACTAAAAATCAATCGGCATGCATAAACATAAAGAGAATCAAATTTGTGGTGAGCTAACAAGAAACTCATAGTAGGTCCTGCAATCATACAAAGAGCCCATGCAAGGCCTAAATTTTTAGATTGAAAATAAACATATATACATACATACATTGTCTTGTTACCAAACACGTCGTCGACTCGTCGAGATATAATATCTATACCTAATTACATTGCCAAACCTAGCTAACCACTATTACATATAAAAAGGAGTAGCTTCAAGCTTTAGTTAGTTTCCTTCAAGTCCTGAATTTAGTCTTCAATTCCACTCCAAAGCCCACATTTTCCGATCCAGTAAAAGGAGCTAAGCTAGCTCCCGGCTGCCCGGCTGCCTTCAATATAATTAACTTCAGGATGAATTTTCTAAATGCTCAACTTTTGGCAATCATCTTTGGTAGCCTCGGTACGTATATATATTAATTAGCTAGTATTGCTATTTTGTTTTAATATATTAATATGTTAATATTGCTCAATTTCCATAGCTGCATATCGAATTATTCAATATTTTTTCAAACGCAGCTATATGTCAATATTAATCATTTGTACGTACGTACTTTTTCAAATTAGTTTTATTAATTTACTACTCCGTGTCTCCCTATATTATTAACTATTCACAAATTCACAAATATATCATATACTTTAATGTTAATAAACAAACAAAAAAACTCAAACTTTGTTTTTGTTTGCAATTGTGCTCTATACATCATGGTTCTTAAAGATTACAAATTAATGGTCATCACATTAATACTTTTATATACCAGTATCTAATTGACTAATTCTTATCCTATTTTATTTTCCTTCATACTTTTTAAAAATGATTTAAACCAATTTATGAAAAGTTAATCATGCATACTGATCACCCCGTAGTTGGTAAGTTGCCTAACGAAAAAAAATCATGAATTAAGGAGTTGGTACAATAATTTTTTAAAAGAGGCTGACTTGGTAAAATTGCTTTAAAACTATTGAAGTTTGTTTTCATATAAATTTATCACTTACAGAATTTAGCTTTATAATTTCCTCACGGTTGTGTGTGATATTTTTTATCTTCATAGTTATATACTCCGCATATTTCAAATGTTTTATAATTTATGTTTTATAATGTATACCGTAATTCCATTAATACTCCCTGTGTATTATATATTTTTTGACGTACTCCATCTGATCTATATATAGGTTTTCCACGGAGATTAAGAAGAAAATGGTAGTGAATTGTATAGGAACAATTGTGTAAAAAGTAGGATTGTAGATTAAAAATATGAAAGATAATATTAATTAGGTAGAAAAGTATGAAAGAAAAGAGAAAAAGTAATAATAATAAATATGATTAAAAAAAGTAATAATAATAATAATAATAATAATAATAATAATAATAATAATAATAATAATAATAATAATAATAATAATAATAATAATAATAATAATAATAATAATAATAATAATAATAATAATAATAATAATAATAATAATAATAATAATAATAATAATAATAATAATAATAATAATAATAATAATAATAATAATAATAATAATAATAATAATAATAATAATAATAATAATAATAATAATAATAATAATAATAATAATAATAATAATAATAATAATAATAATAATAATAATAATAATAATAATAATAATAATAATAATAATAATAATAATAATAATAATAATAATAATAATAATAATAATAATAATAATCATAATAATAATAATAATAATAATAAAATGATCATTGCAAAAAATGGAAATAATGAAATAGTCCTAGCTCCAAAAGGAATATGTAACACATACATATAATAAACTACGGAGGTCGTATATTAGCTTTTCCACAAAAAATATACGGAGTACTATGTACTACTACGTATATTAGTATATTAGATGTTTTAAGATTGTTTCAAAAAACATAGATGTTTTAAAATTGAAACATAAAAGAAATGAGAAAAACCAGTAAAAATGTCAAGTATTCTTTTACTATGGCTAATAAGTATAATTCTGAGAAATTTTAATGAGTCTTTTCAATATAAAATACTTCATCCGTTCTTTAATTCTTACAACATGGTGATTTTTGCACTATTCACAGACCTTACTTTGACCACGATTTTCTACTAATATACATAATCAAATTATTACGTATAAAATGTTATTGAATTCCTATCAATGTGAATTTCCAAAATATCAACTTTTTATAATGTTTAGTAATACATTATTAAATACAATTACAGTCAAAATTATGAATTGGCAAACGTAAAAGTCAAACTGTTGGAAGAATTAAAGAACGAAAGATAATAAATAATATACTACTAGTAGTATATACTACGTATGTAGTACGTAGTATGACACACTAATGATCGAATATGTGGTCATAATTGGGAATATATTAGTAATATTCAGGGCCGAACCTCTTGTTGAGGCAAAGAGGCAATTGCCTCAGGCCCCAAAATTTTACTAAAAAATATGGGCCCATAAATAATTGTTTACTAGTATTATATATACACAATTTTTGTATTTCACATTAAAATAGCAATAATACAAATAATATCAATCAAAATAATATCATGTGTGTTTTAATTTTTTGATGTTGGCATATAAATTAAATTACTGCTTATGAATCTTAATATCCAAATTTTACATTATTGAAGGACCTTTTACAAAAAACCGACTCGGGCCAAAAAAATGTTAGGATCGGCCTTGGTAATATTCATATCCTTAAAAGTATTATGGAGCATTTCGGGTGTGGTAACTTCATGGTGATATACTTCGTATGTAGAACTAGCTTTGGGTTATTATTCATTTAATGCTAACATTTATAATTGTTACGATATTCTGATTTTCTCTTTTCCGCAGGTAATGTGGTGTCATTCATGGTTTTCCTAGTACCACTGTAAGGACTCGTAACTTTTGTGATTATTATTATTGCTAAAAATATAGTGCATGCACTCATTTTTTCTAATGTACTTCCAAAATCTTGTGATTAAAATATTTTGTTAAATTATACAAGTACTTCCTCCGTTCTTTTTTAGTTGTAATCAGTGGCGGATCTTGCAGTATAATGTGGGGTGTTCAAAATTAATTTAACATTAAAATGTTACTCAATAATATTATTTGATCCATCAATTGAAGAAATGTAATTTTTTTGAACTACAAAAAATTAGCAAATACGGTTCAAAATAAGAAATATTGTATAAAAAATACAATTATAAATTATTATATCAATTTTATATGTATTTTTACACTTCATTTTCAAGTTTTTGAGTGTTCAATTGAACACCCTTGAACTAAAGGGATCCGCCACTGGTTGTAATATTTCCTTTTTCACGTTTGTCAATGCACAACTTTGACTGTCATTATATTTAATTCTCTATTAGTAAAAAACTTTTAAAAATCGGATTATGAAACTTCGTAATGAGACTAATTACACAATATTTTTCAAAAATAATAATTCACATACATTAATAAATAAAATGTAGTCAAAGTATAGTACATGAATAGTGTGTAAATTCCAATGTTGCAACTATTATGATACGGAGAATAGTAGTATATAGTAACTTAGGCCGTAATGATGTTGGTCATATACATGGCTTATATGTGTGCAACCATTTCATTAATTATATGATGGCATGATATTGTTAGAAAGATTATATAAATATTATGTACAGGTCAACGTTCCATAAAAT